TCCTCCTCCTCCTCTTCCTCCTCCTCCTCTTCCTCTTCCCCTTCTTCTCCTCCCCCTCCTCCCAGTCTCCTTCTCTTTCCTCTTCCTCTTCTTCCTCTCCTCCTCCTCCTTCTTTCTTTCTTCCCCTTCTCCCCCTTCTTCTCCTCCTCCTTCCCCCCTCCTCTTCTTTGAGTAAAAGAAACAAGTCTTTGCCATTATTTCCAGTTTTTTGAGCTAATTTAAAAATTTAAATTGCCTTTACATTTTTTATTGAACAGCCCAGCCAGAATGCAGAAGAATATTAATGCATGATAACTAAGTTCAGTCTCCCATTTTGCAAGCAAGACGAAACAACTCTCTAAAGCAAACAACCAAACCTCCCAGAAGAAAATGTAACACGTGTATGTGAGCTGCACAGATCTCAGATTTCAACAGTTAGTAGGGTCATTGTCCCTCTTGAGTATTGTGGGTTAGCGTTGGAAACTGTGAAAGCATTTCCTCCCCGAGGATAATCACAGTCCAAATCTGTGACTATGGTTATAGCACATGACAAGGGAAAGGGAGAATGCCACTCACCTGACTTTAAAACAGACGTCTGGGGGCTGGAGAGATGGCTCAGAGGTTAAGAGCACTGACTGCTCTTCCAGAGGTCCTGAGTTCAATTCCCAGCACCCACATGGTGGCTCATAACCATCTGTAATGAGATCTGGCGCCCTCTCCTGTATACATAATAAATAAATAAATCTTAAAAATAAAATAAAATAAAATAAAATAAAACAGGAGTCTGAACAGGGATTGGTGACCCATGCCTGTAACTCCAGCCTTCCAGAGATAGAGGCAGGAGGATCATGCGTTTGGGGCTAGCCTGGGGTACAGAACAAGACCTTGTTGAAAAAGTAGACAAACAGGGGCTGGAGAGATGAGTGCTTACTGCTCTTCCAGAGGACCTGAGTCAGTTCCCAACACCCACGTCCCACGGTCCATCCACAGCCTCCTGTAACTCCGGCTCCAGGGGACCCGAAGCACTGCATGCTCACATATCTACCCTCCCTCTCACATACACACATAATTGAATCCTTTTTTAAAAAGTAAATACATAAAATTAGATCAGGCCCAATGTAAGTGAAAGAGGGAGAGGCAGCCTGAGGAAGACCCGGCCAGCCATTGTTCGTTTCAGAGGAAGAAGGGTTTTGGGAGCGCGGGGAAGGAAACTTCATGGAGAAAGCTGAAGACGTCAAGGAGACAGACTTCCCTAGCGGGCCTCCAGAAGGCCTACAGTCAGAGTCAGGAGTCCGCCATCCAGAGACAGAGGGAGCAGGAAATGAACATGCCATGTTAATAAAGGTACCATTGGGCTGGAGAGATGGCTCAGAGGTTAAGAGTACCGACTGCTCTTCCAGAGGTCCTGAGTTCAATTCCCAGCACCCACATGGTGGCTCACAGCCATCTGTAATGAGATATGGCACCCTCTTCTGTATACATAATAAATAAATAAATCTTAAAAAAAAATAAAGGTACCACCATGTGGCAAAGCTAAATAGAATTATGGGTTAACTTAAAATGTAAGAGGTAGTTAGTAACAAGCCTGAGCTATTGGCTGAGCATTTATAATTAATAGAAGCCTCTGTGTGGTAATTTGGGAAGCAGCTGCTGGGTATTTGGGAATAGACAGTTGGGACAGGAAAACATCCACCTTTGTGTATGCATGCTGAGTGCATGGACCTGGGTCTGCACAGGGAGGCCAGAAGGATGCATTGGATGTCTTCCTGTATCACTTCCTGTCTGCTCCTCTGAGGTATGGTCCCTTCTAGAACTTGGAGTTCATGTCTCAGCAACCTCTGGAGACCCTCCTGTGTGGGGCACATTTTTTAAAATGACAAATAAAACCACAGAGCTCTATGACTTCACCACAAATTCATTCTTCTTCAAAGCTAGGGAGAAAAATTCTGCCAAACCCTGTAGCTAGAGTTTTCCTGCCTTGCCCACAGTCAGGACAAATCTTTGTCACCCACCAGTCCCACAGCCGCTCAGACCCAACCAAGTAAACACAGACTTATATTGCTTACAAACTGTATGGCTCTGGCAGGCTTCTTGCTAACTGTTCTTATAGCTCAAATTAATCCATTTCCATAAATCTGTACCTTGCCACGTGGCTGGTGGCTTACCGGTGTCTTCACATGCTGTTGGTCATGGCGGCGGCTGGCAGTGTCTCTCTGCCTCAGCCTTCTGCTTCCCAGAATTCTCCTCTCTCCTTGTCCCACCTACTTCCTGCCTGGCCACTGGCCAATTAGTGTTTTATTTATTGACCAATCAGAGCAATTTGACATACAGACCATCCCACAGCAAAACCCAACAGCCCTTACCCCTCCTCCCTTTTTGGCTTTTCACTCTTATCCCATGACTCTGTGCCCCACAGTGGTCCCAGGCTCCAGGGATGAGAATAAAGGATGATGGCATGTACATATGAAATCACCATAATGAAACCCAGTATTTTATATACTAACTAAAGCAAACAAACAAACAAAAAAAAACAAAAACTAACATGCATATCAGTTCAAAAAGATTGGGGATAAAAGTGGGGCTGGAGAGATGGTTCAGTGGCTGAGAGCACTGGCTGCTCTTGCAGAGAACCTGAGTTTCTTTTTCAGTACCCATGTGCTCACAACTATCCGTAACTCCAGCTTCAGGGGATTCTACAAACCTTTCTGACCTTGGCTGGCACCTGCACTTATGTCACTTATGTACACACACACACACACACACACACACACACACACACACACCACAAGTACAAGTAATTAAAAATAAACTAAATCTTTTAAAAAGAAGAATAAAATATGTGACAAAGAAATGATGTGAAAATTCAGTTTTGTTTAGAAAAACAAAAGATACTTCATTTGCAATAAGTTATCACAAAGGTGGTTTTTCCAGAGTGAAGTTTATCCATTACACTCAGGCTGCTCTGACTCCTATGATTTTTCTAAAATGTGGGAGACTTGGCTGTAAAATCTGTGTTAATAGCAGTATGGTGATTGGGATGAAAATGACCCCCATGGGCCCGTAGAGAGTGGCATTGTTAGGAGGCGTGGCCTTGTTGGAGTGGGTGTGGCCTTGTTGGAGTAGGTGTGGCCTTGTTGAAGGAGGAAGTGTGTCACTGGGAATGGACCTTGAGGTTTCAGATGCTCAAGCCAGGCCCAGTCTCTCTCTCTTTTCCCATTGCCTGTGGATCCAGATGTAGAACTCTCAGCTCCTTCTCCAGCACATGTCTGCCTGCATGCTGCCATGCTTCCTGCCATGACAATAATGGACTAAACCTCTGAACTGTAAGCCAGCCCCAGTTGAATGGTTTTCTTTATGAGAGTTACCATGGTCATGGTGTCTCTTCAGAGCACTAGAACTTTAACTAAAATGGGGGGCTGCATTCCTGCTTTTTCCTAATCAATCAATCAATCCGATTTTAAATTGGGTCCAACTCAGGCAAGGTAAGCACATGTCTGTAGTTCCACTACTTGGGAGTGGAGGGAGGAAGGCTAACAGGACTTTGAGGCCAGCCTGTTGTCCATAGCCAGGGATAGACAGCAAGACACCATTGCAAACCCAACCCAACACAACAAAACATGTAAGAATGTATGGGGCTCAGGGTTATATTTAATAATAGGAAAGCAATAGGAACGAGAAACATTAGAGTAGTTATCATCTCTAGGCTGAGAATTTGAGGCAAAAACAAAACAAAACAAAACAAAACAAACCAGGGTGTAAGAATCTGAAGCAGAGTATCTGTTGGGTGGCAATACAGGACTGTTCATTCCACTCCTG